CAAAAATTACTTGGGCTATATTTTTCTTAAGAAAAAGAGGATTAGTTAATAGCCTTTTCAAAATCATAAAAACAGTATAGGACTCTGTGACATTTAAGTAATGGGTCTTAAAAGAAAATTCTGAATTTTTTCACTTCTGAAAGAGACAGATTTTATTCAGACATTCAAATGCCTAAAATCCATAAAGGCAAAAGACATAATTAAATTAGATGCTATGAAGTTTCAAAAGTCCACTATTAATAAGACACAGGACCTAGCTAAGAACTACTATTGATTACGTAAAGCCATATACATGAGATTTTTAAAATGTGAAAATGTTAGAGGAAAAACTATATTTTCACAACATTTTGCAATCTGCTATAATCTGAGAGAAAATATTAACTACTAGCTAATTGTATTCATCTCATCCTACTAATATGGCATCAGTTAGAGTTGAAAAAACTCCCATCAAGGTACTGAATACCATAAAGGCAATACAGAGAAGAGAAACAGGCACAATTCACATGGATGTTTCTTTGGAAAATAGGAAAATGGCAATTGTATATGATAAATAAAATTTCTTATGGTATAGGGAGAAGGAAATAAGTTATTCTTTTTGAAAGAATAATATGACCATTTGCACACTGAAGTCAGGGGATATGGAATACATGTACCCTGTGTGGGGAATTTGGCAAGGGGAAGCTGAAACTGAAGCCAAGCAGATTCACGAAAGCACTAAGCCAGTACTGCTGGTCACTACTGGAATTCAAGAACTTCTTTCATTCATTCCTGGTTTATTTTTTAAAGAAAACAAATTATTTAAATAAAACATTTAAAACCAATATCAATGGATAATAGTGTTAAATTTCAGAGGAAAAAAGAGAGTAATGAGATCCCTGAAAAACTAAAAAAAAAAAAAAGCCTATTTGGTTTTACCAGATCATGGTCCCTAGCTCCAGGAATTTTGCTTAATAACCTCATTTCCTAGGGATGTCTTCTGCGCAATTTGGTGGATTAAAAAGAAAGCAAGCGCGCACACACACACACACACACACACACACACACACACAATCCCTGCATTTTCCCAGTGAAATTGTGCTATTTGAATCAAGAACTAGGAACATGTATAAATGCAGTCATTCTTTGTATGAAGGTAGACCCTTAGAGTCATTTTCTTAATGCTACTTACTGTTATCTTCCTTTGGGGGATGAAGAATGTGCTGACCATTCACTAGCAGTGTATTATTATTGTCATTATGAATCCATTAGATATATTCAGGTGAGCTAAGTAACAGCCGTGTGAACAATTTCTTCTTCTCTTGCTTTTAGTATAGTATTTGATAGAATACAAACTGTTCCTTGTTTACTTTTTGCCTTTAGTAAAAAATCCAAGAAAATAGAAAAGTCCTTTTCTCTGCCCTTGGTTATCAATAGAAGTGTTGGGTGTGGCAATGAGTTTTGAGAATCTGCATTTGTGTCATTTATTAGAATAACCAGTAAAAAACACAGCTCTACTTGTTAAATAGAGTAGTGGTACTTAATGAATCTGTAATATCCCCACTAAATATGCATTTAGGGGAGGCATGAAGGAGTCTAATGCTTAATAAAAGTAAACAGTTTCTAGTGGAAGCTTTTCTATAAAAGGTATACAACACACACCTCAACACAAAGAGATACAAACACTAGTTTGCAAAAGAGACATGTAGTACGGTGGCAGGATCTTATTTGAGTTTGAAAGTTACCCTTGAAACACTTTACCATAAAGAGGTCCTGACTAATTTTCACCCACCTTTCATTACCCAATGGCTTTCTTGGGCCATGGGAGCCTGTTTAGTATACCCAGCACAGGTTATTGCAAAAAGCTAAGTGTCCTTCCTGTCCAGCAGCCCTCAACCAGTGATGAAGAGAAGCTGTTGCAAGGGCTTCAGGTCCCTCAGTCCCTGAGTAGGGTTCCTCTAATGTGTGTGTTTTGCACTTTCTTCCAGCATCTCTCCAGTATGAAGAAGTTCCACTTGCTCACCATGGCAGCTACCATTACTGGATTCCCTTTCTTATTTCCATACTCTCCCATTGAAGAATCCTTCATCTCCAAAATAAACTACTGTTATTCAAAACTTGGTTTCACAAACAGCCAAACTGTTCATGAACAGAAGAACTCAAACTAAAACATAATGTCAAACATATTATATTTAACTTAGTAACTGATGAACATTCATCATTTTAACCAAATCCTTATGTTCAAATTAGATATAATTTTGCTTATACGAATTTTTTATTATGGTTCAATGTGTTAAATACTTCATTGATCTACCCACACAACAGAGCTAAAACTGTAAGTATGAAATGTAGCCATATGTTTGCATGAAAATCACACCAACCAAATTAACATACTAAATTCACCAGCAGTATTTTCCAGTTAAACTGTTTTAAGCTTTACGATGCGATCCTTCGGATGCTTCAAAAGAAGTAACCAAAATATTAAGAAAGTGTTTCTGTCTGACAATTATGGAAATGCTGCCAATAGCTGTCCATCAATCTTTTAATTTTCTAGTATCTATCCCAAAATGGGAAAGACATGGTCAAAATATTTTACTTATTTTTTAAACTTTAAAAAAAGATCAGACATTTTAAAGTCTGTTGGATATAAATCCACCAACCATCTAGGAAAATGACTCCTTTCATGACTCAATCAGAGGTTCATCGAAAATTCAGCAGAAATCTAAGACTTCAAGCTGCCATCCCCACTCCTGTTTCCATGGGAATAGGCTTCAGATCAAGAAGGAAAAAAAAAATAGATGGGGTTAGGAGCTTTCAAATAATCATTCAAAATCATGATGAGGTTTTTAAAGCTTCTTTTTCAGGTGATTATTTTGTAGCCTCTTAACCCCCTTTTGCCAGTCTGTTTCCATGGAAATATGACAAAAATGGCTGTCCAAGCCTCCAGCAGAGATATTAGCATTCTTGTGAATTTCAGCTTTGGCTGCAGCCTAGGCTGGGTAAGATCTTTTTTTCTATCACTTTGATATATTAACCTACACTGGTTTTACTTACTGTAATTTCTCCTTATAATTTCTACTTTCTTCAAAAACTCCCTTCACAAATATCTAGCTATGATCAAGATCAAATTGAATAAGTGGTACATCACTGAAAAAGGCTTCAGTTTTAACTTTTGTACATAAGCCAAGACATATAGCTGCAGGACGTGCCAGAACCTTTAGAGACCCACAGAAGAAAACATTATTTAGTTACTAGACCTGATATTTATTAGATAGTTTTGGGAGATATGCAACAAGGCTAATATTTAAGTTAGTTAGCCAGTAGTAAGGCACATTATTAACTGTTCAGAACACCTATTCATACAAGCTGAGTAATGTTGCTACAATGTAATAACCAATGATAAATTAAGCTAAAAGTAGCCTTATATAAGGTAGTCAGCATTATACTCAAATAAATTGTTCAAGGTCACAGACTGAGATCCTGTAAAACTTTTCAGAAAAGCTTTCAAGAGAAACTGGGTAGGAATATATAGCAATCCATCTATTAAAAAAAAAATCAAAGCGCATATGCTCGCATCATTTTTCACGTAAAGGTCATCTGAAAATCAAAATCATTCTTATTAATGAAGAAATTATGTTAAAAGATACAGAAAGAACATATATGGATATTTGCTAGAACCCCTGGCAAGATATCTTGTGTTGAATATGAAAAATAACAGCGTGCTACATATGTAATTTTATTCCATCCTACTCTCTGAAATTTGCTGAGCAGTTCAATCTACAATTTTTGCTAGAGAAAATCTTAAAGTTCTGATTGACCTCATATAATACTTCCATTCTTGAGCACTGTTATTCTATAGTCACAGCTTTAACTATAGAGTCCTACCTTCTGAATTTGAGTTGAAAAAATAAAATTTAAAGTGGTAATCATTAGATTCAGACAGATTCCTAATTTAAATTTAGCAGAGATTAACATACTGTAGAAACTAATCCTGTTTTTTTTATAACTAAATAGATCATTGCTATAATAAAGTAAGGCAATCAGTCAACTAATTTTTCAAATCATCCTCACTAGTTTTAGAGTGCAGTCTGTCATCGTAGTTAAACACACAGTCCTAGAAAGCAGGATTGACTCCCAAAACAAATCTGGCCCACACTTGTTTGTATAAATGAAGTTTAACTGATACATCCATTTATATTTTATATTATTCTGTTTTGTCTTAATTACCTATGACTACTTTCTTGCCAAAAAGGGCAGAGTAGGTACCACACTGCAGATATGGGATATAAATCCTGTTGATTCTCTGGCTTACTGAGAAAATATTTGCTCATCCCTGCTCAACCCTGGCTACCTGAATCCAATGCCTAGATGAGCCATCTCCTAACTTTGAGATCTTGGGTTGACTTTGGATTTACCTGGACTGTTGAGCTGACAGGATTAGATGAACTTTTTTTTTAGGTAAATTATTTATAACATAGTGTAGCATTTACTAAACACTTCATTAATATTAATTACTTCCGAGAACAGTGTTTGGCATTTTGTAAGCACTTTGTACATATTAGTGATACACCTTTGCCACTACCACATAGTCCTAAGTGTGTTCAATGAAACTAATTTTAAGAAATATGTTTATGATGCCCAAATTTTGAATAAAAGTAGTGATTTACAGTCATTGAATATGTTTTCTTTTCAAATTATGTATTTTTTTTCCTTTAAAAGATATTTGAGTACTTAATATTATAATATGAAAATGTTACATGTCTGATTCACAGAAGACAATTCACCTTGGGTATTGTAAGTAACTTCAGATTCCAAAGAGGTTTTTGTTGCACTATGTAGGCAGATGGTTGCAAACCAGAAGTTATCAAAAATTATATAATGATATAAAATGGTCTTGAAAATTTTTTAATTGTAAAATTATATCATTTTCTGAAAAGAAAGTTTAGAAGTTGTGGGGATTTTATTGTTTTAACAGTCTATTTGATAATGGAGAAAACTGTGATTGACTGGGTGCCTATACTTACATCCATGAACTCCACATTGGCTTTGGGACCAGTCGTCTCATTGAGAATCTTAATAGCCACAGGAATCTTCACTGTTTCTCCTTCAGGTACCCAAATGCCCTTTCAAGAAAAATAATATTTACATTAAATCCATAGTAAGATATGGATATTAAATATAGCAGAAATAAAATTTAATTTAATCGCTCAATCTACTAACTCTTAAGCATAATTATAGATTCTATGTTTTTCATTCAATGAACATTTATTTAGCACCTGTTATAACAAGATACTCTGCATCTTTTTGATCTGCTTTCATTTTTGAAGATGGATAAAACATGTACTCTATGTCAAGTTGTCTATACTACTATCAAATTCAACTTGTGGGCATGAGAAAAAGCTTTGAATAGTGAAGAAAACACTGAAGCAGTATAGAAGAGCAATATCTGATTTGGAAGATATTTTCAGTCTTCTATTTTTTTAATATATTCTCAACTCTAATTTAGAAGATTAGGCTAAGAAATGTTGAAGGTTCTTTTCAGCTTTAAGGTATCTATTCTGCAACTATTCTGAACTTTTTCAAGTTCATAATGAATTTTAAAAGGTGATTACTTTAGAATTAGTGTTCAGACACAAGTGCTAGGGATTACTGCACAAATATTAATTTTTTTTATCATTCCCCATGTGTATATGAAGGACTGTTATTATCTTTGAGGTAAATATAAAATATTTAAATTGGCCATTGCTAATTCTCTCTTTTCTTATCAACGTGTAATTGTAACATTTGAACAGAATCTATACATTGGGAAAGTATAAAGTTGATAGAGTTTGAGTAAAGAACACCATCAAGCTAAATAGCATTTCTACATGAATTTAATTCAAACACTTAAATGACGACAATTATTTTGATAGGACATATGAGAATGCTTGGATTATATAACAATATTTTCTTAAAAAAACATATTTTCCCAAATGAACACAGAAGCAAATGCAAGGTTATGAGAGAAAAATAAAAATTCCCAAATTATAATTCTGTAGCCCTAACATAAAAAATATTATGCAATTTTAACATTAAAATGAAAGAATAAAAAATATTCATTACTCCTGAATAGAATATCTACATTTCCTCTCTTTCTTGATATCAGCTGCTTGTATCCACATCACTTTGAACATCCATGCTAAAACATACATAATTGTACTATTCAAAGTTGTAATAATATGAGGAGACCTAAACACAGAATTGTTAAAAAAAAATAACAATAATAGAAGCAAAAAAAAAAAAAAGAAAAGAAAAAAAAAAACCCAAAACTACTTTGACCTTTAAAAGGTAAATTTAGAGTTATGGTTTTCCTAGTCAGAACCAATAGGGAAATTTAAATATCAAATGCAAAATAATAGGCTAAGCTCCTTATGGTATAAAATTAGGAAAAAACAAATTAAATCAGAAATGGAAAAAAGTAAGTAAAAGCCCAGGACATGCGAACCTATATTTTCACATTGATGGTGTCTAGGGTAGAGAACATAATTATCATTATTCTATAAAATGACCACAGAATGTGGTACTTTATTAAGTCACAGCATCAATATTAAGGTATTCCTAAATAATACTTTTAAAATAAGAATATAAATTCAGTGTGAATTAATTCTATTGCTTTGGAAATAAGTATGGTTATTATTTTCTAAGGCTGTCCAGATAAAAATTCAACTATGCTGATACCTATGATATTGGTTCTAATCTTTCATGCTTACACATAGTATATCTCCATTTTGGAGGAAAAATTACTAAATAATTGGTTGAGCAATTTGCATTTCTGTAGTCAAGAATAATCCTTTATAGTTTAAGCTTAGAACTACTGATATATTGATTAAAACCTAGGACCAACCATTCACATGCCAAGCATAAAATTCAAACAAACTTATGGAAATTCTAATAAACTTTAATTACAATTAATTTCAGTAAAAGGAAACATTCATGAACAACAGAAAAATAATTAGTGTTAGTAAAAATACTGATGCAGCTTTATTATTAAATATTTAAATGTGTAGTATTTTTCCCTGCTGAGGTCATCAGATAGTATTTAGTCCTAAAGTATCATGTCTCCATGGTTTAAAATAAATTTTAATTCCTGAACTATATAATAATAAAGAGTGTGATTATACTTTAGAACAATCCAATAAGTAATTTTAAAAAGGGAAGTGTCTTTTAATACATTTAAAGTTAGCATGTATCTCTTGTCTATCTTCTCTATATACAAACAAATCTGCTAATTCACATTAAATTTTGTCAGTGTAAATGCAGAATTGTTAAAACACCAATACTTAAGAGAAGAAAGCTCTAATATATTTCTATTGACTTATCCTATGGCTAAGCACAGACCCTTCAGTCATATCTATGGATATAGAGAATTGAAGCAATTACCAAATAATTCTTGTGGGAGAATCCTGCAATAGATGATTAGAATGGGGATTTATGGTAGCTAAGTGATCCAGAATGACTGTCAGTATTAATCCAATTCACTGTATTACCTTTAACTTGCCAATTTCTAAATTCATGACTGGAATTTATGATTATACATATATTAATCCAAAAAATTTGCTTGATGCTATTTAACATAGATACAAAGATTGGAAATATTAAACTTATAAATTAAAATTGATATATTATGTAGATTAAAAATGTAACTGTATGTAATTTTAAGTCCAAGTCCATCTTTTCTATCACAATATAAATAAATATGATGTTATTTTTCAGACGAGATCGGGCGCGTTCAGGGTGGTATGGCTGTAGACAATGATGTTATTTTTCTTTGAACATAGAAAGAATTTGAAGTTAGAAAGGCATCACATCATCTAAAATAGTGCCTATGCAAATTAAGTGCCTGGTTAAGAAATTCAAGTTTAATTGAACAAATTATACACACTAACAGATTATGAAAACTTCTGCATCTTGGCCTTATAATAGAGTTATAATTCTAGAAAGATGAAATTATTTTGGAACATTCAGCAGAGAAAAATAAGGTCTATATTCTAACTTGTAATATTTTCTGTTAAATAAATCATGATCTTACTAGGCAAAAAAGAAACATTTTAAAATGTAAAACTCCTAAAATCAAATTTAATTTAGTTAATATGTTTGTAAGTATGTAGGCTTGCACATAGCTTTAAGGAAAATATTAAACTGTAGATGTAAATTTTGTAAATTGTAATAATGAATTACAAGAAGAATTCAGCACTATCCTAGCAGAGTTTCTTATTCTTGTTATTTACCATTAAACAAATTTCACTACAATTAACCTCTGGCCTGGCCTCTGAATTGGTCTTATAATTAAGCTAAATAAGTAAACATACAAATGCTATCATTTGAGCTTTTCCTTTCCAGAAATCCCTCTCATTGAAAAACCATGTTGTTATCCATTTCCTCCTAACTGACCTGAATTTCTCATATAAAGTCAACTTTAGTTTGCACAGAATGTCAGCATCAAGACTATAAACATTAACCACTAAATCATATATGTAAACAGGTAAGCAAAATATGGTTTAGGATCTAGACGTATCCTATTTATATATAAGCACATCCATATGAATTCCAAAGAGATCAATCAGGTAAATCCTGGAAAAGGATTCTTTCAGTTAAGAATGAGAGAAGAGCAAGGGATTATGGTTCATTGCCTGGGCAGGTCTGGGATTTCATGGAGCACTGTGTAGGAGGAAAGGGAAATGCATTGGAGCTGGGTATTTTGGATACAAAAGGAAATTCAAAGGCAGGGTGATATTGAAATGGGATCACTATAGTTGCTCATGCCTTTAATCCCAGGAACTCAGGGAGGTGAGGCAGGAGGATTGCAAATTGGTGTCCAGTGTCAACAATTTAGAAAAGCCCTAAGCAACCTAAGGAGACCCTGTCTCAAAAATAAAAATGACTGGGGGTGTAGTTTTGTGCTACCCCTACCCCTCTACCCCTGGGTTAAATCACCAGTACCAAAAAAAAAAAAAAAAAAAAAAGACGAAGAAGATGAAAGGAAGAAAAAAAAAAGGATCAGAAAGGCCTCTAGAGCAAGAACTCTATTTGCCTATCTCTCAAGACTCTATTTATCCCAGCTTGTTCAATAAAAATTAATGAATTCATTTGTGCAGCAACTTCTCAATACTATAAAGGTCCTCCTCTCTGAATATTAAAAGGAAATTAGGTTGGCTAAAGTAATTACTTTAGCTATTATTTTTTTAAAAGGCTGAAACAAAACTTAAATAACTGATAGTAAGCGTTGTTTTGTACTTACTTTATAAACGGTTCCAAAAGCACCTGAGCCAAGGACTTTTACTCTTTTGAGTTCAGTTTCTTTCAAAATACGAAGCTGAGCTTGGTTGGGTGCTGTACCACTGGGAGTCAGGGGTTCCACCAGCTGCAGAGTAAATTGATAAAAATTATATAACTTTCAACTCAGTAATCATTCCTGTTCTCAATCCCTCTCCCCCCATTTTCTCTCTCATATAAAAATTCAAACAAACTTTATACAGCAAACAAAACTTTTATGATATGAACCACTCACCACCACAAACACACATTTAGACATTCCTTTAGACCTATCCTTTCTCTTCTGCTCTTCACCTAGGTGAATTCAAGAAACAAATGTGTTCTACCTTGAGACATGGTAGACTAGGAGACAAGGTGCATAAAAAATAGAAATGCTGTCTTTTTAGAGCTCAACATCTATCTGGGCAACTAGGACAAACGTGTCAGAAGAGGGAAAAGCACACATGCTGATTCCCTATGACAGAGCTTCTAAAACTGCAGTGAGTGCATTAATCACCCAAGGTTCTTATTGAAATGCAGATCCTTGTTCAGAAAGTCTGGATTAGGCCTGAAAATTTGTGTTTTTACAGAACTCCAGGTGGTAACTATGTAAGAGGATGGTCTTTAAACACATTTTAAGTAGCAAGGCCCTACTGTATCTTCTCCATTAAAAACATAAATAAAAATTTAAAAATTGATGATTTGATTCAAGATCATAAGTGAATACTATGGAATGCAAAGGAATAAAATCACCTTTAGGGACTGAGGCTCATCAATCTGGCTTCCTAAAGGACATATGCTTTAAGACCATCTTGTGATAAAGAAAATGGATTGGCATTGGGAGGGTACTATCATGGTGGGGAAGAGTTTGGGCATAGCATTAGGAGAAGGAGGAAGACATGGAGGAACCCATGAGGGAATGAGACAGGTCTGAGGATGAGATTAGAGTGGGAGATGCCAGGTCATAAAGTGGGCTGGTTGGGTATAGCCAAAATGTAAAATCAGGCTGACAGTTTTAGATGACACAGTTGAGAAGTGATCCAGCAAGAGAGGATGGATGAACAAGGGAAAGCTATGTGAATGGCTGCTGATCACTTGCACGTGTGAGAGAAAAATTGTCCACAGTTGTCAAGTGTTATGCACAGTTTCACTGTTGGAACTTTCATTTACCAGTGGTCAACTGTATTTGGAAAATGTTAAATGGAAAATTCCCAAAATAAACAATTCATAGTCTTAAAGAACTTTTATTAAAGTATGTTCTTATAATCCACTTTATTATTAGTAACCATTATTAATCATTCACTGTGCCTGATTTATAAATTGAAGTTCACAGAGTTATGCATATATAGGATAAAACACAGTATAGGGAGAGAGGGAAGAGTTAGTACAGTCCATGGTTTCCGAATCCAGGCATCCCAAGGTCGGGGGGAGCTTGGAAAGTATAATGCATGGATAAGGTGGGACAACTAATGCACATAAGGGAGAAGCTGGGTATCAAAAGGCTTATATCCTTTGTTAAAATGTTTGGTTTAATTCATGCTTGAGGCAAAAAGCAAGTGAGAAAAGTAGGACTTTTTTTTTTTTCATTTTTAAGTTAAGGATCTAAACTTTAAACAAAGACAAATAGCCTGTTTTTTCTCTGCATAAGGAAATAATTAAGGGCTACTCCTACTCAAATTGTCTTGAAACAACCACAGTATTTCAAAATGTCTGTTTACAAGACTAAGTGCACTGTGGCCCTCCAGCATGGGTATTATTATCATGCTTCTGTGAACATGATAGTCTACTTAATTAGTGGAACAACAGAGTCCTGAATGTAGGTAAATGTAGCAGTCGCAAGAATTTTAGAACAAACATATGAAAAATTATCAATAAATTTAGGTTATTTTCTAATAGGTTGATAACTAATCTGGTTATAATTACATTCAAGTTGCATTTAAAAAGACTCAGAAAAAAATCACTAAATTTGTTTAATGTGAAAAAAAATCTCCAGCAGAGATTTCCCTTCACTTGAAGACAACTGCATTAGAGGGAGTTGTTTGATAGATGTGGATACACACCATGTGTATGATGAGTCACTTTACTGAATCACTTTTAAATATTACATACAAAAGTGATATGAAATCATGCAAAATTGGGAAGGGAGTTTCAGCATTTTGAACTAGCTAAAATATATATTAGATATATATGTCTTGACATATAGCATGCAATAATTTCTTATTTTGAAAAATGCGGAGTTCTACCTGAGATAGTCTATACATTTTGTTTATAATTGCTAAGTTACAAATGTATTGTCACTTAAAATTTTATACAAATTTATTTTTCTAGAAATTTGAATATTATTTCTTTAAAAGGAGCATATTTTCATTTTATGAGCCAGCAGTGATATGGTAGAAAGAGCACTGAATTTAAATTTAGAGGACTGTACATCAGTGCCACTACTCACAGACTTAAAAGGCAATTTATTCCTCTTGGCCCCTCATTTCCCACCTGTTAAATAGGTATAGCAATAATCAAGTGAGAGAGCTGCTAATGGATGAAATGGGACAGTACTGTGGAATATTCTGGAACATTTCCTGACATATTATAGGCACTGAATATATCATTCTTCAAGGGATAGGATCATGTCTCATTAATACATTTTTTAATCAAATCACCTACCAAACATGAAGCTAAAAAATCTGTGCTTTGAAAAAGTATCTTTTTAACTTTTATGCATATGATAGAAGAAAACAAATCTAGAGAAAAATGATCTGGGAAAGCATATCAATTTTAAGTATATTCCAACAATATATTATCCTTCCAAAACCTTTCCATTTTGTTGGAAAGTTCTAGTTTCGGCATTTAAGGATTCAAATTGATCCTCTTAAAAATTTCTTTTTAGATAGTGGTTAAAAATTACAATAACTTATTTTACTGAGAGAAAGATGGGAAATGCTACAATTAATTAATCAGCAAATGTAAAATAATTTGGTCCAAAACAATAAATTTCTTTCTTTTCTTTTCTTTTATTTTTTTATTTTTGTGGTGCTGGAGATGGAACCCAGGGCCTTGTGCATGTGAGGCAAGTACTCTACCAACTGAGCTATATCCCTAGGGCCAAAACAATAAATTTCTTTACAAAATAAAATCCATTATAAAACCAATACACATGTGCTGATTTAGCAAGGAGATGACAACTTGAAGGACAATCTTAGCACTAGCACTGCATTAAAAAAAAAAATAAATAAAGCAATACAACTTTGGCATAATAATGGAAACTTCTTACACATGGTTAAGAGACTTTCTCTTCTATTTATTTGACACCTAAATATCCACTTCTGTTAGAAGTCTTAAGTTCCTTTCCAACTCTGTCTTACTTTACTTTTCAGAATTCTCTTACCAATTGCCCCAAGCTGCCCATGAGGGGGACTTCTGCCTGCCTATAGTCTTCTAGTTAACTTGAAACACGTATAACATATGTGTTTTTTCCTACCTTTCATTCACATATACATGGTTGAAAGTAATCAAGTGATCTGTAAATATCCAGTTAATGTACACATTACTATTATGTCTTCTCACGTACACTACTTGACTATCTTTATCGTGCTTAAATAAGTGCATTGAGAAGAAAGCTTATTCCAGTTTAGAAAACTCCAATCCTTAGAAAGTGTTATCTTGAACATTGCTGTAGTTTCCTGATTCTTTCATATTATTCTCCTATCTAGTTTCAACTTCTGAAGGAAAAGAGCTAAGATTAAAATCATTAGCAGCATGCAAAAGGTATATAAGAATGAATATTCCCAGCCAGGCGCAGTGGTATACGCCTGTAATCCCAGCAGCTCGGGAGGCTGAGGCAGGAGGATTATGAGTTCAAAGCCAGACTCAGCAATGGCGAGGTGTTAAGCAACTCAGTGAGACCCTGTCTCGAAATAAAAAACAAAATAGGCTGGGGATGTGACTTAGTGGTTGAGTGTCCCTGAGTTCAATCCCTGGTATCTCCCCCTGTATCCCCCCGCCCCCCGAAAAAAAAAAGAATGTATATTCTCATTCCTATGTTAAGAGGAAAAGCCAGACTGCCACATTGACAATAAGAAAGAAAACAAATCTAGGGTAGCCTGTTTCCAAACAAAATTGCTTCAAATTGTTTAGGCAGGCACTGCTATGGGGATCTAGAGAAAGACATCAGTGGAGCTGAGAATGGTCTGGTGTTTCCCCTGCCCCACTACCCTGTACAGTGAAGGTCTGCATGCTAGAGAATTCAGTGTGGCAATGTGAAGGAAATTATCATAATTTATGGGTAGTTTTCATATTCACAGTAACCATCAGGCATAATATTAAATGCATATTATAAATTGTTTTGTAAGTTCTGCGATTATATCACTAAACTTTACCCTGTTACGTCGGTCTTTCATCGCTGGTATAATGAGATCTTTGGTTACCAATTTAAGGTGCTAATTATAGGACACTGTACAGAAAAACTATACGCTTTCAAATGTATTCCTAGTTCTGCCATTGATAGATACTTTCTATCTCCTCTATTGAGATATCTTCTACCCATATCTTTTTTGGCAACCACTACCCCCAAAACCTGATCTGTCTTTTCCCCAGTGTCATACATCCTGGATTGCTGACATCTAAGCTTTTCAAGTCATTAATCTACCTTAATTACTGCTACTATTTACTATGATTCTTGTTCAGCTTTGTGTATGAAAAAAGTCATCAGGAAACTGAACAGAACATTCGCTTACATTTAAAAAACTGAGTAACATCCAAATCTCTAAAATGCTATTGCAAATCTCCAAACATGTGAAGAGAAATAATGAACACTCCACCTCTGTTTCCAGGAATCTTCTCAAGGCTCTTTTCTTTTTGATGCTCTTCCTTCTAACATAAACTGCAAAGGTCAGACCTACGATGACCAGGATGAAGAGACCTCCAATGACTCCAGCAGCAATTAGGGGAGTCCTGCCAACCAGAATGAAAAAAAAAATACATATGAAGAAAGAAAAAAACAGAAGAAGAGGAAAGATCTGTCGTGCAAGACATTATCCACATTGCATAAATTTGGTCAATTAGAAGAAACGCAAAGAAAAAGAAATAAAAATGCACTAGTGCTTAAAAAAATATCTTTTCTCAAGGCAAAACAGTGTTTTTGTTTTGTTTTGCTTATAAGTAACAAACCATGCACATACAACTAATCTTTGGGGATAAGCAGCCACAACATACCATTTCATGAAAAAATGTAAAATTTGGTAACAATGTAGGAAATATGCTAAGATGTTAGTATGGGAACATTTTAAACTATTTTAGTTTTACTATTATCCATGAATAAATGGAAAATACATTTTCATATTATCATTGTGGTATATAATTTTTCAGCATTTTTTATAAAGCAACCTCTCAACAGTGGCACTACTGACTTTTTGGGCTAAATAATAGCTTGCCGTGGGCACTATTCTGTGCATTTTAGGAGGTTTTGTCCCAGGTCTCTGTCTACTAGATGCTGTAACACCCATCTTCCAGTGACAATAATGTCTCTTGACATTGTCAAATATCTGCCAACATCAATCCTAATAGAGAACTGCTTCTCCAAAGCAAAAATGAGTAGTGCAGAGGCATGTGAATCCCCATAACTCTGAAGTAAAAGGGTACTGATATGACTGGTTGTTATTACTGAAAGTGTAATTTGAAACTTTGATAAGGACAACTCAGAATAATGGGTAGGAGAAACCAAAAAGGGTCAAACATTTTCAGTGTGATGATGACTGGAGTATGTAGTATATAAGCAAGTGTTTCCAAGCATCCTATGTTCACAAAAGAGATCTGCACATTAAATATCACAAAATATAAACAATTACCCAGGAGGCATTCAGATAAGACTAGAAATTTTTGTTCTTAAAATGTTTTTCTAATGTGTTTTTGGCAAAGATACAATTTTGAAGCTGAACATTTCTTAGTGTTCTCTAAGGTAAATTATTTCCTTGTTTGAAGAGTAATATTCATGTTTTTTTTTAACATCTTGTTCTAGAATAAAGCAGTCTTGAAATATATTAATTTCCTATACCATAGCAAAACACATAGAGGTTATCTTAAAAATATTTGACTGGGAAACCTTTATAGATATCAAAACAAAAAAGAATTCCCTGTATGCTTATAGTTTCTAAAGTATTTTATAGCATATATTCCTATTTTAGAAGAACCTATTCTACATAGTTTCATTCTCTTAGAAAAAAATTACTTACACATGCAAAATAAACTTTGGTTCAAAAATGGATGAGAAACAATGATAGTAGATGATCCTAAATAAAACCTTGGAATTCTAAAGAAATCTTGAGACAAAAATCTGTGTAACTACTTCTATAAATGAAGTCATGTCTTCTAAAGATTATGGTTGTTATATTGTCAAATAAAACTGCTGAAAAATCTAAAAAAGTCATTCATCCTAACAGTTGTTTCTTGACAACTCAAAGTACTAAAGCATACTGAAATGTTGCTATAATTCAACTAGATTTTCATAAATCAGATTTTCTAAAGTTATAAAAATCTATGCTGGGAAAATTAAAGTGTAGTATAGACACAAACTCATCCTTGTGATATTTTTTTTTTTGTGTATAACACTGAATTTTTTAATGTGCCAGATAAATATGTTCTTCAGAAAATATTTCAGATTTTTGACCAAAGGCATAATTTTAAGCACAAGTGCCTAATGTATTCTTGAAAAGATATTACTGCATAAAGAGCTATGATTTTTTTGTTCTTTAACCCCCTTTTTGGCAAAGAATTTATGAATAATCAAGAATAGTGTTCAATATTTTCTTAACTGTAGATTTAGACCAAACTCTAAACTCTCTGCTTATTTATTTTGTAAAGGAATATTTATATGTGTTTATGAGAATATATGTATATACAACACATATATATGTCAGTGTCAATGTCACAGTAAATTTTTAAACATGCTCTATCATGATTCTTTGTTGAGTGTTTTTTAAGGATAACTTCCAATAGAACAAAACAAGTAATTTATGTTTTTCTAGTTAATATTTACTTTCATTACTTTCTCACAGTAGTTTCTTTGTTTGATTTATATTTCTTTACTGTTTTCTCTCACCATTCTGTGAAAATAGAGGAGCTACAAACAACCTGAAGAAATGAGGAATTTCACTGCTGTACCTAAAGATCAAACATGAATATCTCGTTAAACATTCTCAGAGGCCAACTTCTTCATATTCTCACATAATTTTTTCCCCCTTGGAAAAAATAGTTAAACACAAAGAAGCAGGCAGTAAAATCAAGGAGGAGGATACTCATTCAGTAGGGCAAGTTCTCTACTCCTCTAGTAAGTGATTGTGATAAGTAAAGGGACTGATCCAGATTAAGATTTGACAGACATAACAAGTGAACATGAAGCCCATTCTGGATTGGGATGGTTTGGACAAAGCAACTATAAAGTAGGATAACTTGAGAAGTCCGAATATAGATAATTAAACAGATGGGGTAAATATATGTTGCCATAGGAAGACACAGACTATAAACTGAGAAGATTGGGTTATAGAATAGTTAGATCTTAATATGGGAAAAAATATGCATATATCTGTATTTGTGCTTATAGATATGGATCTAGGTTAATATCAAATAAAACACTAAGTAGTAGTTGTGGATAGTGTGAATATGATGCACTTATTTTATGTATTTATGTATGTGTATTTATTCATTTTCTATAATTTATATTTCTTTGGGAATAAAAGTTCACTCAATTTGAGAAAAATCCAGAAAAATCTATATCATAATCTAAAAGTTTAGTCTTGTAACAAGGGCATTTTATTTACAGTTTTCTCAAATATTTACTTGAATTTTTTTTCAGTTAAGATTTCCTTTTGCTCTTCCCTGTCCACTTTTACCATAAGCATTAATCTGCATATATTTTCTATGCATTATAGCTTAATATACCCAATAAATTTAATTACCATATGCTTCTTACAATTAATATTATGTTCCCTAAGCCAAGCTAATCTGAAAAAGTTGATCCTATTTAAACATTTTTTATTCCCATCAATTTGAGAATTCATTGATATTTACAGATGTTGAGTAGAGGCCTACTTTTCTTTCTCCTCTTTTACTCCACGTGCAAATGTTTAACTCTTCATGAGGACCTAAGATAAAGAGCTACCCTAAGATAAAGAGTCTTTCAATAGCTGTACATCTGTCCTATTAGCCTATTGCTATTCCTGAGAGTTTTTCTCCTGTATGTGAGTCAGAAGAATCTCCAAGTGTCTCAGATACTAGTGAGATCAGAGGAGTTAAATAATAAGGGACCTGGATTTACTAAAATCGTTTATATAGAAGAATTAGTGTTTGGTTGTTGGTTTGTCTTTGGCTGTCCATTAAAAATTGTTGGCACCCCCTACAGTATAAAAGATAGGATAATCAGTGTCAAGTTTAAGCTTAGACTAAAGAGATGTTATCAATCAATGGTTTCTTATTCTGTGATTTGGAAAGAGTAAATAATGAGACCAATATCGCCCCACCATTTAAGGAACTAATATCACAAGGATTGTGAATCATAAATGAACTTTGCTAATCTATTTAAGACATGTAATTTAATTTCAGAAACAAAATAATGTATAATATTCTATTTCCTTGAATGCCATTACCTTATAAAAAGCAGTATCTTCAAACTATATGATTCACTTAAAGACACATTGTTATCATTCGTTACTGTATTTGAACTATGTTGTTCATGTCAATGAGGAATATAAGATGTGAGAAGCTACAACGACAAGTCATTTTAATAAAAATCCAAATTTGTTCCTTCAATGAACTTTTTCCTTCCAGATATCAGACCACAAAAAAGTATACTGAAGTCAATATTATTTATGATTAAAACTCAAAGCATTCTTCAAAAATATTTTGTTATACCCTTCCAAATGTATGTTAGTAGATGGCTATCCTTTTAAAATGAACAGCATTGCTATTAGTTTTAATTTGTAAAACAAGTATTTTCACTAATAGTCATTGCCAATAATGCTAAATTTATGAGATTTTTTTTAAAAAAATGGTAATGCAAATCCATCACCAAATAATCAGCTAATTACATTTATGGTTTTTTCTTCATTTTTGAATACAGAATAATCTTCGATTTAAGATAAAGGAAATAGTTTGCAGTCCTATAGTACACTGTTGGTATATAATTTGCAACTAATGGTATTGATTTTAAATGAGAAATTTCCACTTTACAAAGCTCATATGTTACTAAATAACTTGAACACTGGTCTTAAGAATTCGTTGAATTCTGTTTCAGTTAAACCTTTTCTGCCTATAAATAAATAGTGAGTCAGACTTAGAGTTGCATCACTATTTGTTTATAGGCAGTAAAGGTTTAACTGAAAATGTGTGTGTGTGTGTGTGTGTGTGTGTGTGTGTGTATCTTTTATTGTATGTAGGAGATAAAGGCAAAAAAAAAACAACGGGCTAGTCTGATACATTCAGAATAGGATTTTTTTAAACATAAATTTTCATACCATAAACTTTGCAGGTCTCAAAAAAGGTTAAAATATTGTAAGGTTTTTCTTTAGTGTTAATTTCATACTCTGTATGATTTTTCCTTATAGTGATTGAAGCAGAAAGACACTTTGGATTCAGAGTATTTTAAATTTCCATCATTAGAATTTACCATCATTATTTGTGTTTCTTGCTTATGATCTAATTCAGCTTAAATACAAACCCATTCATTCTTCACCAAAACTAATGCAAAGAAAACACAGTAGGGGACTACCTAGTGAGATCTGCTGAATTTACAGCATGTTTAGTACTATTATTAAATCAAATATTTTTAAGCTTAAATGAGTTGTATGTCTTATTTTGGCGAGGACAATCTTAGTTTATGCACTCAAAGCATTGAGGGTACATCTTTCACTCTCAAAAGACTTCCTTTGTGATCAATAAATCCATTTTTTACCCTACCTTTA